TGCCTGGTGATTGTAGGAGAGAAAATTATAAAGGATATGGTGTTGGTATATGTTTGCCTGGTGATTGTAGGAGAGAAAATTATACAGAATATGGTGTTGGTTAGTTGGAGCATAAAGGAGACTGTGTTAGAAGAATATATTTGTATTTTTACTATTGTTAAGTCATCTTGCATGGTGGGGTCTCACAATTTCTTTTGTTAAGTCAATTAAACAGATTCTTAATGGGGACAAACTGTTTTTATTCTTTTTGAATGTTGATAATGTCATTTATATTCAGGTGATTTTTTGTAATTTCCCCAAAAGTTAACCAAGTTTTGGCAGTCTTTCAGAAACATTAGACTTACTGAATTGATTCTGATATTGGCAGTCAATTTATAATCATTATGTTTTTCTTTATGATTGTATGTGGTTTATCTAAGTGTCTTCCCACCTGTTTGTTGACATTGTGGTTTGATCATCTGCAGGTTCTTACAAAATTTCACCATCATCTGGAACATTAAACACTGCTTATATATTTTCCAGAAAGGAGCTTTCAAGGCAAGATATTTATTTTAGGATTAATTACTATCTTGAAGTTATATTTCTTCTTATGCGATAAAAATTAGTTCTTATCTTTTTTTTTTTAATTACAATTTGGTTCTAGAAACATCAAAAATATTTTAAGCAAGTCAGGTTAGTCTTGTTCTGGGACTTAATTCAATTAAAAAAGACTAAATTTTTGTTGGACTTGGCAAATATGTTAATTTTGGGACTAACTTGTAACATATATAGAAGTTATGAAACTCAAATAATAACTAGCATGTATTTTCTTGTTGCTGAAATCCGATTAACTTCGAGATTCATGGTCTGTTAATGGACAAGGATTAAGCTCGATTTCTCCTACTGTGCCTATTGTGATCTCGATCTATGGAATTATTTGGTTATAGATTTAAAGGAAATTTATTACGTTCCGTGGGTCTATTAACTCTAGTTCTTCAAAAACAGGCCTGCGCTGCAACTCCCTTGCGCCAGCAAGCCTGTTGTAGCTGTTCGTTTTTGCCCTGTGGCTTTCAGGCTTCGGGGATCAAACCCTGGTAAATTTATGCTGATTTGCTTTTTCTTTTTCCTTTAAATTTTTGGCATATATGGATGTTAGGAGGATATAAACTGTAATCTGAATGTTTTCTTCAATGTGCAGCTGGATTCTTCAAGCTTCCTTATCGAATTGTTTTTGCTGTTGCAACTTTAAACTCAGTGTACGTCTATGATACAGAAAGTGTTGCTCCAATACTAATATTGGCTGGTCTTCATTATGCACCAATAACTGACATTGCATGGTAAAGTCTTAGAATTCCTGCAGTATACTCCGTTTTAACACCCTCAAAATATTTGATGACTACAGTTGATGTTTTCTGGATTCTGAATTGTTATCTATGTATGTTGCTTGAAGGTCATCTAGTGCCTGTTATGTAGCGTTGTCATCTCAAGACGGTTACTGTACTTTGGTGGAATTTACAAAGGATGAACTGGGTTTGCCATTTTGCTTAACTGGTATGCTGCTGTTTCTTAATTTTATTTCACCTGCTCCCTTCCTTACCTGCTCATCTTTGTTTCTTTGGTATCAAATTTCTTCTTTAGACCCTTAATGATCCAATTTTTCTGTTCAGAAGGAACAAGAGTTGGTGAGAATGAGAACAAGATTCAGAGAGCAGAGGATATGACGACTGGAACAACTAAAAATGATGGTATGGTTTCAGAGGATGAGAAAAAGGGTTCAATTCAGGAAATGGAGGACATGGTTATTGTAACAACTAAAGATGATGGTTCTGTTCCAGGAACTAGTAAAACAACTGCAATTGAAAGGAAACAAGGCAAATGGGTATCACTGAGCTCAATCACCACAATAACCTCAAATAAGCCTGCTAAGGAAGCAGAAGACATGATGATTGAAACAACCAAAAATGACAGTTCAATGCCAGGAACCATGAAAATAATGGAAGAAGATAGTGACAGAGGCAAACAGGCAACACTTACCTCAGTGACTACTGCGACCTCGAGTAAACCTGTCAAAAGGAGGATTACACCAGTAGCAATTGATCCATGATACTTTTAAAGGCTCAACCTTAAAGTTTCTACGAAGTTCCTCATCAAGGTTCCATGTTCTCACTGTAATCATTCTTTTGTTTGTTGAGAGTAAGACATCTCAATGAAAGATGTGCTTGATATATCATCCTTTATTTGCTTGCAGGTGATGTAGGCAAGAAATCATGGAATTCTATTGTTTTAGCATGTGAATCTGACTTTCTTGTACTAATCTGATTAGATTAGAGTATAGATTTATTATAGAGTTTGCCGTGCTGATAATATTCACAATACATTGATAGTTTGCTGTGATGCTTTCACCCATTAAATGAAGTTACAGCTGAAGATTTTTATTGAACTCAGTAAAAGCAGTGTGGTGCCAGTAACCCGGACATTTATCCACAAACAAATGGCTAAGCAAGAAAATTGCGTTTGGAGATTGCAAGCTTTTCTTATGGCTGATCTGAGCAATTGAATTGGAAAAGGAGCTAAGATGAGTTACCAATAGCATGTTGTACATCCATGTCTTGACATGTATTATCTTTTACTCGTCAATCTTATTAGAACTTCAAAGATTCGAATTTGCAATGTACGCTTTCTGCTATATGGTGCAATCTCAGAGTATTTACCTGGAAATTATGTTCATGGGTTTTCTAGTCTTGTATTATATTCATGGATTTGCTCTGTTGTGTCCTCTGTGAAGCGTCCTAATTAAATCCAAGGGGAAAATGAAATACCAGTTGTTTGATAAGAAATAAATTCAGGAGAGAAATGAAAAAACAGTGACTTTTGGTTCTTTGACGGATATGGTTGTGGTTTTATGATATTTAGAACCATTATTATTGTTATTATTTTCAGCATAGTATTTCTCTTTTTACCATGCAATATAGGAGTTTAATTATACTTCTCAAAGCTGATGCACAACATAAAAGTAGATAACACTATTTCCTTTCATTTTTATTTATTAGCGGAAGCAATTTGTATTTCATTGATATTATAGGAATGAGTGTCAGACAAACATATTGTCCATATTCTCTAATATAAGAAGAAAGATATATGCTTATTTTTCTTTTTTGGTTATAAATTCAATGGCTTTTGCTTGGATTTCTATTACAAAGGAATGTGAATATGTTAAAAAAGCCTCCACAGTTTTTTCATGACAGCAATATTATCCATTTGGGGGATTGAAAGAACAAGAAATATTTATTATCAGTAGCCAATAGGGTTTAACTTATCATGGAAACACACAATCTTCTTATGCCACTCATTTTATGTAACGTTCAATCAGAGCTTGTTCTCAAGAAGTTGATGATTTGACCCAGAAGAAGGTTCTGGCATATCAGCAGCGGCATTATGATTCCCAGAAGATTTAAGATGTGAATCTTTACTCATTACCTTTTCATCCTTCTTTATTTCTTCTTCAATATGCAGATCCTCTTCAACAGTTAGAACTGTAGTTTGTTCACCATGTGGACCTGGCACAATGGCTTCATGTACTTTCACATGTTCATCAATCTTTAAGATCTCAGTTTCGTGAACCGTTTTCTTCTTTCTCTTCTTAATGAAGCAACATAGGAGGACAGAGAGGAATGCAAGAAAGAATAGACCCCCAAGTGACACAAACACCACAATGACAACAGTTGAATGGTGTCCAGGTGGTGGTGGTGGTGGAACTGAATGGGGTGGAGGAGAAATAGGATGAGGTTGTGGCGGAGGTTTGAAGGCTGGTGGTGGTGGGATCTTAGGAGGCTTGACTGCTGGAGGCGGAGGTGGTGGTGGTGGAATAACGGGGTGATGTGGTGGAGCTACTTTTGGTGGGCTGTAAGGTGGAGATGGTGTTGGATTTGGAAATGGAGGTGACGGGATGTTATGAGGTGGTGTTGGATTGGGTGGTGGAGTAATGGGGTGGTGTGGTGGAGCTACATTTGGTGGGTTGTTGTGAGGTGGAGGGGGTGTTGGTTTTGGAAATGGAGGCATTGGATTGGGGGGTGGCAAGGGAAAATATGGGAAGTAATGTTTGAGAGAAGCCATTTTTTGTTCAGCTGCCTGAGGATTGATTGGATCAGATGCTGATGACAAAAAGGGAGATGTTGTAGTAGTATTTGTAGTTGCAATTGCTGAGAAAGGTTGTGAATGGTTTTAGGTGCTTGTAAGTTTCTAATAACTTGTCACTCATGCTAAGCTTTTGCCCTTTGAAGAGTTGTCATTGATTGCATTAAAAAACACTTCTTCAATATGTGTGTGTGTGTGTGTATATATATATATATATATATATAGCTGGAGCTCTGTAGACAAAGTTTGATGGCGGTTAGAAGAAATCTTAAGCCTATGGTTCCTTCAAAGTGCTTCACGACATCAAACCTATGGCCTATAAATTGCTAGAACCAGAAAGGGACCCCTTGTACATCCAGTCTTCCATGTTTCCTTGCTCATCAGACTGGAAGGCTCAAAAGTTATCTGTGATGAGTTGCCTGGCCAGTTTAGGATGGAAGCCCGTGACATTCTTTCTTTAATTGTGAAAATTGATCTTCCACCTTCAAAGCTAAGAACTACCATCAAGAAGTTTAAGTTGAAACTATAATAAAATTAATAAATCATATTTTAATTATGCATATCAAAACTAATATACAAATTGAAAATGTTTGAGGGATAATTGAACTAAACGCAAGTTAGATCACCTCAGTAAAACCAGTTTCATCATATGATTTCAAAATCTTTTGTCTTTCAAGTTCAACATTATAATCATATTTTATTTCTTCTTGGAGCACATCTTTTGAGAAGCAAGCATGACAAGCGGATATGATTTTAAGCGGTAGAAAATTACATTTTTTCTCTCTCTATTCTTTGTCAGGATCTCTTTGGGGACGAAAGAGAAGAGGAAGGGAAAGAATGAAGATGATTTGGTTCCCAAACTTAACCATCAATTTCTGTAAAAATATAGACCTTTTAAAAGATTTCTTCTTTTAGTAAAGACCTTTGAAAGATCTACTAATAAATTTGTTTCTCAATAGAGACAACACAATTTTCCAAAAAACCAAGTAGAGTAGTAAATCCAATACAATATTTTCAAGTTACTCTTCTATAGGGAAAAGAGAAGCCTCACTACCAAAATTTTGATTACTGCCAGAATCAAACTTTCTTTTTACACCACGGAAACCAAATTGCAGCTCCTCTCCTAAAGATGAAAATTGAAAGGAAAATAAAATGGAGAAAGAATGAAAAAATCAGTTTCTTTTACAAAACTCTTATCTGTGTGACTCTACATTTTAGAAAGGGGGTTCTTTTCTTGAGGGATTAGTTGGCTGAAGGATAGAAGAAGATTCAAGGGAGAGTCATCTACTCCATCCTTTGGAATTAGAAGTTTCATCAGCTTGATCTTGCAAAAATGAAATTGTTTGATCTGCACCGCAGTAAAAAGAGAACACATTAAAAATCTAGCAAATGCTTATTTTCTCCAAAATGACTTTAATAGTGAAAGGGAAGAGGAAAGATATATTCAGTTATTGACAAAGCTGTGCATGTTAAAGAGCATGAGATGACATGGCACAGAGCAAGACATAGTCGTAGTAAACTAATTATAAAAAATATAGAAATAGAATATCTGCGAGCATGATAAAAAGGTCAAACAAGGTGATTATAAATACAACGAAGACCAAACAGCTGCATTGTGCCATTTGCCCCTATGGAAACAAGGGAAACCACAGCCTGTGCACTGAATTCTTATAAGAAACAATCTCATGATTTGACAATTGTTGCACCCACTAATACATATCAGCTAAAGGAGAATCACAAGACCTTGATCCAAAACAAATGTTTCACGATTTTGGAGGCTGTGTTAAATTACTTAGACAGATAAAGGGAGACCTTGTTTGCTTCAGTTTGCCACAAATAGTATCCTGAGAATGGTTCTGTTGAGATCCTGGACATGAATGCTAAACCGAGATTAATAGGAGAAACTGAAGAGAAGGCGCAGAGAGAGATTAAGAGAAGAAGAAAAGAGAGATTTAGAATAATTTCCAAAGAGTCTTTGGATATATTTAATGACGTGTCTCGAACGCGATCTTCTCTCACGGGCAATCTCCTCATATCTCATGTATATATCCTGCATATATATTGTATATATCTTAGTCTTGATTTCCGGAGACTAAGTGAGGAAAATTCTGATATTTCCATGTAAACTTACTCGCCTATATATTAGGCAATTATGTTTAATAGAAAACTCAACTATTCTCCACAAAACCTTGCTGCAAACTTAACATGGTATCAGAGTGTCTGTAAACACTTCCGCCATCAACAGCTCTCCCTGTTCCCAAAATCATGTCCTCTGTTTTTTTTTTCTGCATAAACTTCCAAGCAAACAGCATCAGTTCCCATATCATCCGACAATGGAACTTCCAGCAAACGGTATGTTGTTACTGATCCAACTTCACCATATTACTTACCACCTTCAGCTCTTCTAGGTATCTCTCTCACGTCAATAAAATTAAAAGGAGAAAATTATGCCACTTGGGAACAGGCAACACTCATGGCATTAAAATCATAAAATAAACTCGGTTTTATTGATGGATCAATCGCAAAGCCGAATTTTTCGTCTCCGAACCATAAAGCCTGGGAAGTCGTCAACTTAATGCTCTATTCGTGGATGTCGAACTTTCTTGATGCCCCTGTCCTTGCAACGGTCTCTTGCATCATAGATGCAAAATTGATGTGGTATTTGCTGAAAGCTCGATATTCCATTGAAAATGGATCCCGTATTTATCAACTTTGGTCCGATATATCAATGAGCAAACAATCTGGCTGCTCTATTATGACTTACTACACAACTATGCTAGCTAAATGGAATGAATTATCCAACCTTTCCCCCATAGCTCCGTGTTCATGTGCGCAAGGAACAAAGATCGTTACTTAGTTTGAAAATCTAAATATTTACCAATTCCTAATGGAATTGGACGGTGCCTATGCCACTCTCAGGACGCAGATCATCAACATGGATCCTCTTCCATCCCTGGACCGAGTGTATGCTATGATTTCATAGAAAGAATCTCATCAGCGAGTTACTAGAGCCCGTAATGACATGCCTACACTAGGCTTTGCCATCCAAGCTAACAAGTCACATCGACTTGCACCTGTGTCTGGCTCTGCAGACCGCACTCCAAGCGGTCGTCCCTTCTGCACCTACTATCACCGGCTAGGCCACACATTCAATCGTTGTTTCACCCGACTTGGTGTTTCCCCACAAGGACGCGGACGCAACCGAGGCAAACCTCGCCACCCAAATCTTGATCCACCAGCCTATGGTCAACAGTAGCAAATACAGTCCTAACCTGCTTTAGCAACCGCAGCCCAGACTGCTGTTCCTACCGCACCGTCTCCGCCCAACATGACTGGCTTGACATCCGAATGCAGCGCCTACTTCCACTCCTTGAACCGCCACCATCTACCTCTGAGTCACTAGCTGGTAAGGCTAATATTTCCACCGTATCTTGGCTCATTGACAGTGGAGCATCTCATCATATGATCGGCAATATAGCTTTATTTTCTGCCATTCATGACATAGCTCCAACTTCAGTAGGACTTCCTGATAGCATGCAGACATCAACAGTAGAGGAGGGAATGGTGTTGCTTCACCCGGGTTTCCTCCTTCGCAATGTTTTAGTTATTCCACACCTCTCGGTCAATTTACTTTTTGTTGGGCAACTGATAAATGATTCAAATTGTACTATAACCTTTGCTCTTCATATGTGTGCTATACAGGACCGTTCTACGAAGAACTTGATTGGTCTGGGTAAACCACACAAGGGCGTTTTTCTATTCCGTCCTCTACTGGTGGCTACCGCTGCTGCTGTGACTACTCTGGAGTCTTATTCTCTCTGGCTTCAACGGTTGGGTTATCCCTCCCGCCAAAAGCTACTTCATCTTCCTGGTGTTAATGTTAATTTTCCAAAAGATAACAATTTATGTGATATATGTTGTCGTGCCAAACAAACACGTTTTCAATTTCTGATTAGTTGTACTCATGCAAAAGAATGCTTTGAATTAATTCATTGTGACATTTGGAGACCGTATCGTGTTTGTACACTTTCTTAAGCTCGTTATTTTTTTACTATTGTTGATGATTGTAGTCGAATAGTATGGATTTACTTATTAACTGATAAAAGCCAGGTCAGTAGTTTACTTCGCAATTTCTGCTCAATGACCCAACGACAATTCGGAAAATTTGTCAAGATCATCCGAAGTGATAATGGGACCGAATTTGAGTCTCGAGCGATGCAGTCATTTTACACTTCAGCTGGTATTCTCCATCAAACATCGCTGGTAGACACTGCCCAATATAATGGTCGGGTGGCACGAAAACACCGACACATCCTTGAAGTCGCACGGGCTCTACGCTTTCAAGCCAATCTTCCTCTCGAGTTGTGGGGAGAATGTGTCCTCACAGCCACTCATCTTATTAATTGCACTCCTAGCTATGTTCTCAATACCAAAACTCCACATGAAATTCTGTTTTTCGCTTCCCCTGCATATAACCATCTTCGGTTTTTTGGATGCCTCTGTTATGCTGTTGCAAATCCTCAAGAAAGCAACAAGTTTGCTCCTCGTAGTCGCCGTTGTGTCTTCCTTGGATATCCATACGATAAGAAGGGTTGGAAAGGTACTGGACCTGGAAACCTTTACAGTTTCATATCTCGCAATATCCTCTTCGAAGAAACTGTCTTCCCCTTTGCTCATATTCACTCCGACAAAGAATCGGGGTTGCAGTCCTCGTCTCCCTCTCCTTTACCTTCTGCAACTCAGTGGGATTGGCATTATTCGAGTTTAGTTTCCCCGACAAAGGGAGCTCCTGCCAGCACTGCCTCCCCTCCATCTTTGTCTGAGTCACATTCCCTTGACCCACTACAGTCGATGTTTCCGGGACAGATTTGGGCCATGGTAAGAGAATCAAGCGTCCACCAGTCGCACTTCAGGATTTTGTCTGTCACTTGGCTCACCTTTTGGCACCCAGCGGATGCCATTCCACAAACACCCGGTACCCACTAGCCAACTATGTTTCCTATGATCGGTTCTCTACTGCACACACTCATTTTTTAGCTGCTGTTACCACAGGCGTTGAGGCTCGACACTATTCGGAGGCTGCCCGCGACCCTAAGTGGTGTGCTGCCATGCAAGAAGAAATTACTGCTCTGGAGCGAACCGGCACCTGGACCATCAAAGATCTTCCTCGTAGAAAGAAACCCGTTAGCTCCAAATGGGTCTTTCGGATTAAGTACCACTCGGACGGCTCCATCGAAAGATACAAGGCCTGTGTCGTGGTTCGCGGTGACACTCAAGTAGAGGGCCTCGATTACACTAAGATATTTGCCCCAGTCGCCAAGCTGGTCAGTGTCCGCACCCTATTTGTTGTTGCTGTGGTCAAAGGGTGGGAGTTACACCAACTCAACGTACACAACGCATTCTTACAAGGTAATCTTTAGGAAGAAATATACATGCGTCTGCCCCAGAGTTCATTAAGGTCGGTTGCTAGCGAAAATCATTATATGGCCTCTGGCAATCTCCTAGAAATTGGTTTGCAAAAGTGGCCTCCGCCTTACGCACCTACGACTTTTTCCAGTCACATACTGATCATACCTTGTTCACTTATCATCGCCAGGATATCTTCCTCTCTGTCTTTGTTTATGTTGATGATTTGATCATTGCCGGAAATAATCCCGAAACTTGTGCCTCTTTCAAACTCTACCTAAATGGGTGTTTCCACATTAAGGATCTTGGCAAGTTAAAATATTTTCTCGGTATCGAAGTTGCATGTGAACCCTCTAGTCTGTTTCTGTCACAACGCAAATATGCTCTTGACATCTTGTCTGAAGCCGGTTTACTAGTTTCCAAACAAGCAGACTTTCCCATCGAGCAAAATACACTTTGGCAACCCTCGACAGTCCTCATTTAGCTGATCCTTCTCGGTTCCACCACTTAGTTGGTCGTCTTGTTTATCTCAGTTGGTCATCTTGTTTATCTCACTATCACTCGGTCCGACATCTGTTATGCCGTTCATATTTTATCTCAATTTCTTTATGAACCCCGTCAAAAGCATTTGAATGCTGTCCTTCGCGTCCTGCGCTATATCAAAAGCGGTCCTGGTAACAACATCTTCTTGCCTGCAGACAGCTCCCCTCAGCTATTCGCCTTCTGTGACTCTGATTGGGTCGATTGCCTACTCACTCGTCGATCGACTACAAGCTACTTCATCAAGTTAGAAAATTCTCCGATCTCCTGGAAGGCCAAGAAACAACCTACCGTTGCTTGTTCCTCCGCCGAGGCCAAATACCGTGCTATGGCCATAGCCACATGCGAATTGTCTTGGTTAAAATCCTTTTTGGCTTCGTTGGGAGTTTTTATGACTCAACC